AAAACAAACTGAGCTATTGAATAAGGCTATGGTGCCCGTAAGTCAGAGAATAGGAAGACCAGGGATCATGTGATAATTCATACAATGTAGCTCATAAATTAGTTCCGTGCCAAATTTTGTTGAAATAGATATAGCGAACGAAGGGAAGCAACTTTAAATGGTCAAATAAATGTTTAGGGACGACATATTTCCCACGATAACCGATCAAAATGTGTAAATAGTAAACTAATTGACTCGTGGGATCTGAAATCATATAGTTTATTATTATACGAAGAGAAGTAAAAATTAATTCTTTAATTTAAATTGAGACGTACTTTAAAGATTTTTTTTGCACAAATTTTAATCTAAATTTGTAAGTGTTTCATTCAGGAATTGTTTTGGGGTCCTGATAATTGAGGTCTTATTTACCGTGATAAACTTCCTTAGACAACCACAAATTGGTTGGCCGCTCCTGTAATCGATAATTGGTTAGAGTCGCTTCCGTTTTTCAAGAATCAATAGAATATCAAACTTTCGATTGTTTGCTTGAGGTTTCGCACCGAATTTTTTCACAGTGGTTAAGATATATAATACTGGAGTTCAGCGTTTTAATTCGAGGTAGAATTCATCAGACAAACAAGGAAACGTATGGAAGTGACCATTAAAGACCAAGGGACTCGCTATCTTTTTTTGTCCGTCGTCGTTCGTCGTCAATCGGTAGTAAACTTTTGAACATTTTCAGCTTCTTCTCTGGAACCGCTGAACTAATTTCAACCAATTTAGGCACGTAGCATGTATGGATGAAGGAGAACACAATATATGAAATTCATGGCCCCTGCCCCCTGGAGCCTAAGCGGTGAGCTAAGAACTAAATTAAATGCAATCTTTAAAAATCTGCTTTACTCCTAAACATCAAGGTCAAACTGTGAACGTGATTGTAATAAACCTGCTGTCCTTTACAAAGTTTGTGAAACTAATGGCCCGGTTTGAGGTAGTCGTGCTAGGGTGGGGTTTTGTTGAATGTATGGCGAAAATACATTACATGTATTCCTTTTAGAATCACCTCCTCTGCTCCTGGGAATTAATCTAGTTAACCATGCACATAGTCATGATGACGAAGGGTGCTTCTTCCCAAATTGTAAATTTCATGGCTCCTCGTTCAAGGGTTTTGGTTTTAGGACCAGGCTCTTTTGATTATAAAAAAAAAATGCATTGATTCTTTGAAAATCTCCTATGTATTAATTCAGTGCTCTACCTCTGGGTCAGGAGTTCTGTCAGGGCAGGACTCTATTGATTGTATAGTGAAAATGCATTAATGTTTTTGAATATCTCCTCTGCGGTATAAATTCAGTGTACCATGTGCATAGTTATGATGAGCTAGCAAGGGTCCTTTCTCAAGCATTGCGAATTTCATGGCCCCTGGGTCTGGTGTTAGGGTGGGGCTCTGTTGATTATTTAGTGAACATACAGTGATTCTTTGAAAGTCATTTCATCTATTCCTTGGTATAATGCTGATGATCTAAGTACATCGTTATGATAAGGAAGGGTGCTTCTTCCACAATTGTGAATTTCAGTGCCCCTGGATCAGGAGTACTATGGGGGGTCTAAATATTATTTGTTGAAATTGTTTTGTTGCTTAGAAATGTTCTCTTTTGTATTAATCAAAGATTTATGATGAGGAAGGTACCTTTTCCGAAATTGTTAAATGTGTGTCCCTAAAATTAAGAGTTCCTGTGGGGTGGGGCACTACCGATAATATAGAAATGCATTTTTTAGTTTCTCTACTCTACCTCTGCGTATTAAGTAACAAAATTAATCATGTTCAGTGTAAAGTTTTGATAAGCAGTGGTGCCTCCTTCAAAATTGTGAATTTCATGTCCTCTGGTTTAAGACATGAACCAAATTCAATTAATTATTGCATGAAACTCAGGTGACCTATACGGTCCATGGGCCTCTTGTTTGTTTGGGTTTTAAATCTTTTTGTTTGTCTCAAAACTTAAAGATGTCAATTTTTTACGTGGTGACATAAACAACATTTGTTTAGTTGCAATACACAAATAAATATTCGACATTGATTTAACTTTGATAAGTTATATATTTTAAAAATTCCTTCTTTAGCAGTTTGTACTCTTAGAGAGTAAATGATTTACATCAGTTAAGCCTACATATTTATATATTGTGTTTACGTTCATCTATCAACCAGACAGATCTCGAGGCATTATATTGGTGTAAACAGATAAGGAAAATACTCCTTTTTATGGCAAGACCGATTTTTTTCTTCATTTTTTTTAGAATTAAGTTCTGACTATAATAATGTAAAAGTAGAATAAGGTTTCAGGATGGACGGAATAACCGGAGATCAAAGAAGGGAAAAAACATGAATAGGTAGACAGATCAGTGCAAGGAAAGGTTTAAACAGTCTTGGTGCTATGCCTTACAGGATTTAAAATGTCTTTGCCAATCCCCATTTTGTGTGGAAAACGTCACAATGTTTTAAAATTCGTACTTTTTACGTAGTGAAGCACCTACTCTCAAGAAAATGTGGTACAGACACAAGAACTGCTTTAATTTTTTCGGAACTTGATTTTCGTCTACGACGTTCAAATATCTAAAACACACACGAAATCTTGTCACTGCGCGGTAGAATACATATAGTGGGAACAGACGACATTCAAAAGGAAGATTCCATTGTTTAGATGCATAATGAAATATAATATTAATGAAAAGTTGCTATAAATAACCATTAACATTTGAATTATAAACTCACCTAATATCCTCAGTCAAGTGTGTAGTGTGTATCTATTTTTATGCCCCATTTCGAAGAAGGGAGGGCATAAATTGCTTTGCTGCTCTCTGACGGTCGGTCCACCAAGTTTCCGTTCACAACCGTTGCACGTACTGAAATAAAATTATCATGAAATTATCCAAGTCAAGGTCTGTTTTGGGTACGATTGAGCCATTTTTTAAAAACATATGCCCCTTGGAGTTAGAAAAATTCCAATGTTTTGCATTTCCTCTGCAGCGGTTGCACATACTGAAATGAAATTTGGTATACAGATATATCTAAGCATATCTAGATCAAGATCTGTTTTGGGTACGACGGAGCCATTTTTGACAGAGTTAGGCCCCTTAGCCTTAGAAAAATTCCAATAATTTGCAGTTTCCGTTCATTTTATTTCACAGAGGTTCCACATACTGAAGTGAAATTTGGTATACAGATTTATCATATGAATCCATATGGAGAAATGATGTGCAGTTTATTCAAGAAGTTGCTCCCACGTGATTTACTTCTCATTAATATTCATAAGATCCTGCAAAAACTCAAAATATACAATTTCTTTAATTTTTAAAAATCAACTCATGCAAGACTATCTTATTTTTATTTCTTTAAGCCCCCGTCATAGTTATATGGGTAGAATTTAGCGCGATTTTCAGTTGGCAATTAATGATACCGTTTGTTTTATAATAAGTAGGTTACACGGATGCAAGAAATTGCCGTTTTTAAATTGAAAAGGCGGTCGTAACGCTTCATAAAATGTTAAAAGATTTATATTTTGTAAAAATAGACATTCGTTTGCACCTATTAATCGGCGGAAGAACTTTGTCATCATGCAATAAACATTTACATTTCATCACCAAAAATGAGAAATACACTAATTCAGTTCTCCTATCTTCAATAAAACAAATTCTGTTTTGGGTAGGATCGAGCAATTTGGGACAGAGTTATTCCCCTTGGTCTCAGAATCTTTCAATTATTTTGGGGGCACAAGTGTTTTACAAACATCTCTTGTCACTTTACTTACAAAAGTCTGAATGATAGGAACTCTGTATTAATATATTATAACCTCACTCTACTTTTGTTTCCTTTATTATGATGGCATTAAAATAAATAAAGGTCAATAGTCATATTCTTGTGATATGATTTTTGTTCATATTTGTGAAAATATTCAATTCGTACCTAAAAAATAACACTCGAGGTTAAACACACACATCAGTCGGTAGAGCGCTAGATCTGTGATCGGAAGGTCATGAGATCGAATCATGGCCGCGACTGACTTTAAAAATCAACAGAAAAATAGGTAGCAACTGTTCACATTTGCCAATTGCTCGTAATTTAAAAGTAAAAGATGCGGATCCTTCAAATGAAAACTTAAAACCGAGGCCCCTTTTGACTGAAGGCATTGGCACGATTAAGATTCCACACTCCTCAATGGTCGTGAGTGACGAGTAAATGTCTAAACCTGAGGCCCTTCAACGGTTTATGTTTTGACGTCTCTATATAAGTGAAAACTTCTCTCAGGGGACGTAAAACAACATACAATAAACCAACCAATCACATATTTGCAAAATGATGTTTAACAACACGAATATAAATGCAAGAAAAAAAAATTGTAAAAAAAAAATGAAAAATTAAAATTCATTTCGAAGTTCCTCTGCGTCATTATACCTATTTGTTGCATATTAAATTTTGTATATTCTCTTGCCATATTTAAAACTGAGACGTGGAGACCGGTCCTTCAGATGACACCGTAAAAACCGAGGTTCTATGTCGCAGTAAGTGATAACAAGAAAAAAGTCCCTGAAAGCTGAATGACCCTGAGTGCCATGTATTGGATAAAATTTACAGATCTCCAACAGCAAATGGTGGTGTCTTATTTAAATGAAAAATTCTTGAAAGGGACGTTAAACAACATCACAAACATTAAAAATATATCTTTTTAAAATTTATTTTGAGCTATAAAATGGTGATTATGTCAGATAAGAACATTGTTTTTAAATTTTAACATTTCATAAGTAGTATTTTATATTAAATAACGTTACATTTCTGTCCACAGTCTTCCTTAAGGGAGACAATAAAGTTTAAACCCTGCTAGCATGAGAAACATCGTGATTCTCTCCCTGCACGTGACATATTGTAGACCAATCAACTTGACTGGATAAGACTCATGATAATTATGAATATAATACATTCAAAAGATAGTTGTCTCTTGTTAATAATGAATTATATTTTTTCTTTAAAGGAAGTGTGCACATTGCGATTGCTTTGACCTCATTTCTAAACTTGCATCTGACGCTCTTCTGAGATGTCTTCAGAAAAAAAGGGAAAATGAGGATATGAGATGCAAGTCTTCAATTCATATTTGTAAGTACTTTACTGCATATGTATTCAAAATGTTTAACCTTTTACTTTTTTTATTTTTTTTTCACTATTATTTACATATTAATTGTTTTGCGTCACATTTGAGAATTTTTGGTGAAGTGCTACATATGACGACACCCTGAGATTTTAAAGTCGTGGTGTAAGGATTCTTTATCGTGCCACCATTTGAAGTTGCAGCGGATTCTTTTCTTGTACCAGTTATTTTCGTCAAATATAGGCGTTTAGCGAATGGAAAGATATTTTGTACATTAAAGACATCCGTAACGCAGTTTTGATCTTTAATGTCATTTTCTCTATATAATTGAAGAGTTGCAATTATTGAAGGATTTTATAACACATTTTAAATTAAAAGTCATAGGAAATACCAGCTAATAATTTTTGTTCGTCTTTATTAAAAAAAAATTCAACAATCGCATCATTTGATGTTTCGTTCAAAACACCAGCTGTTAATTAATTTATTTTGGACATCTGATGTCAAAACTATAATATTAAGAATGTACATTTTAAAGTACATGTATACATCATGTATACATCTCATGTAAGATGTGTGAGAAAGTGAGGGTAGTATCAAAAGTCAAAGGCAGAGTTTTTTTGTTCCCGCTTCCACTGAAAGTGGGGAATATTATTTTCAGTCTTTCTGAGCTTGAATACTGCATGTTATCTCCATATGCTTCATGACAAATCTCTATGGCCTAAGGAAGACTCCCATCGATTTTGAGGTCAAAAGGTCAACGTCATAAATTTATAAAAAATTCTGTCAGTTTTAACAGTCGATTCCGCGCGATATATTGAGAAGCCTTTGAGCTGTTGCAATGAAATTTTGTACCACAACTCCCGATGACATGAGGAGGACCCTTGTCAAAAGATTAAAGGGCAAGGTCGTACATTCAAATATTCTGTCTGTGTGTAACTTTTGTTTCCTGGCAATATCTCAAGAAGATTTGGCAGTGCAGTTTTCTACCATAAATCCATTTGGCCCCACTAGCCCTGCTTAAAGCGCCCCTTCCAGCGCTCCTGGGTCGGCTCATGTTCTTTTTCCTTAAGCATGGGACACGGGTTTTTTTTCGTACTCTCTATAGCCAAAAAGAGTCTACATTGATTTGAAGGTTAATAGGAAAATGTCTTAAATTATGTCTTTTTTAGTCAGATATGGCGTATATTTGATGAGTTCAGACTAACTAAAAATTAGGAAGGTCTTTCTATTTGGTTTGTTACTTTATATAAAAATAGGACTTTCCTTTAAATAACACAATTTATATCGATCGCGTTCCAAAGATATAGATTTGAAACAATAACCAATTTATCTCCTCCTCGGCATTTAAATATCAGATAATGTAGAAACGTGGGGATATTTAAGTTAAAAATCAGTGACATTTTTAATTTCAACATAAATTACCAATATCATGTAAACCTACACTTAATTTCGTATTTTTATTTTTTTAGCTAAGATACTCCATACGTGTAGGTTTAAGGATATCCGACCCTCAACTAGGAAGGATAACTCCAAAAATTATTATTTAATTTGAAATGCATCAAAAATGAAGCTTGAAAATATTTTTTTTTTTCATGCAACAATTTTTATTTTATTCATCTTTATAAGATTCAAGGTTTTTGGAAGTCTAAGAAAAGGTCTTATAACAGTTGACATTTGTACCCAATAAAAAGAAAAAAATTAATACAGTTTTGGAGAAATAAAGATTTTCTTGAATCCAGCCTTAGATTCCAATGCTGATTAGCATGACATGAAATAAGAAGTGATTTGTGGTGTCTTGCAATGATTGCAAAAGCCTTTTACACTATGTATTATAGAATACATGACGGAAATAGAAGACAAAAAAATACCAAATAAGTATATTGATTGATTGTATACTGTTTAACGTCCCTCTCCAGAATATTTCACTGATATGGAGACGTCACCATTGCCGGTGAAAGGTAGCAAATTTAGGCCTATGCTCGGCACTTACGGCCTTTGAGCAGGGAGGGATTTTTATCGTGCCACACCTGCTGTGACACGGGGCCTCGGTTTATACGGTCTCATCCGAAGGACCGCCCCATTTAGTAGGGTCCAAATAAGTATAAAAATTATGACAATTTCTCTAAATGCCTATCCTTTTTTAACCTAAAATATAATTGTTGATCAATTTGCAAATATAAAATGCATTGCTGATATTCCAATTGGCTTTTTCTGCAAAAATATTCGAGATTTGACAATTTTCACTATATAATATGATTAATTTTAATCTTTAACTTTAAAGAAATACTGTGGATAAATTTATTGAAGACCTATTTTTGTATTCGTATAGATTATATAGTGAAAAAGCATTATTTCTTTGAAAATTATATAGTGAAAAGGCATTATTTCTTTGAAAATCTTCACTCCTCCTGGGCCATCGTCTCAAGCCACGGTTCGGAGTCCGCTTTCTCCAACCCTTGGCTGCTTGATCACATGCTATGACGTCATGTTCAGTCAATTACATTTTTTGTTTCCATCGCAATTGAAATCAACATTGACATCATCATTACTCAAAAATATTTAATTCGTAAACTGCATTGAAAGGTTGTGACAAAACCACGACCAGAATGGGAGAGGATCGTACATTTTGGCCGTGGTTTGCGACGATGCCCCTGGGCATTTAACAAACAAACTTAATGTATAGTAATGATGAGGAAGGGTGCCTCCGAAAATTTTGAACTTCATGGCCCCAGGGTCAAGAGGCCTTATGGTAGGGCGGGGCGCTTTTGATTATCTAGTATACATGTATTACTTCTTTGAAAATCTTTTCCTCTGCTCCTGGTTATTGAACGAAATAGCTGCATATAGTTAAGACGAGCAAGGGTGCTTCTTCTAAAATTGTGAACTTCATGACCCCAGGGTCAGGGGTTCTGGTCTTAAGGGGGTTCTATTGATTAAATAATGTCAATGCAGCTCCTTGGTATTAAATAAACTAACTATAGAGTTATGGTGAGGAAGGGTGCTTATGCTTAAATTGTGAATTTCTTGGCCCAGGGTCAGGGGTTCTTGCGTTAGGGCGGGGCTCTATTGATTATATAGTGAACATGCATTAATTCTTTGAAAATCTTCTCTTCTCCTCGGTTTTGAACAAACTAAGTTATGATAAACAGGGGCTATTTTTCCAGAATTGTGAATTTCAATGCACATGGATCGGGGATACTATAAAGTGCGGGGGATCTAATCATATACTGAAAATGAATTAATTCTTTGAAATCTGCTCTTTGATATTAATCAAACATTCATGATGAGCAAGGGTGCGTTTTCCAAAATTGTGAAATGTGTGGACCTAGGGTCAGGGGTTCTTGTGGGGTGAGGGCACTCCTGATTATTGCTTAATATTACTGATTAGTTAAAATGCATTTTCTGTTCCCCTTCTCTACCTATGGGTATTAAGTAACCAAACTAAATATGCCAAGTGTATAGTTATGATGAGCAATGGTGCCTCTTTCAAAGTCTCTGGTTTAAGACATGAACCAAATTCAATTGTCAGAAAGATGTTGCATGATGTTCCGGTTGCCTGTTGGGTCCATTGGCCTCTTGTTTTAAAATCTGAAATATATTGCCATCAATTACACTCAAAGATTTAGAGTTTCAACCCGTTTGTATTAAAAGTAGCATGTGGAGAGTAATGCATAGACTGATGTTGTTGATGGACTTTATATTTTACATCTGTCATCTATTGAAACTGTTTATTAATGTCTGTTAATTTGCAAAGTATGTGAGAGGTCTCGGCTTCAAATCCCTGTAGATTCCGTAGTTTTTTTTGTTTTTGTTTTTTTTTTTTGGTTTTTTTTCGGGGGGGGGGGGTACGAAAAGATACAATTAAACACATGAAATTAAGTTATGACGTGTACAAACTTTTTTAAAAAATAAATTCATTATTACAGAGTGATAAACATTTGATCAATATAAAGAATTTTCTATACACATTTTAAGGAATAAGCAATCATGTCTATATTTTTATTGGCATTTCTTTTTTGCTTCAGTATATACATTTAGTAATTCTGCAAAGTCGGTGAAGGGTTAGTTAGAATAATCTAACTGTGTCTCGGTACAAGCCCTCACCAGGACAATATCATTTTAACGATAGAACATTCTATCTAGTGAAGGGTCCGACATACATTCCGATCTGCGAATCTTCTTGTTTTTTAGCTCTACTGGTCAGAGAGCGTCCGTCCGTCTGTCTGTCTGTAAACAATTTTTCAAAATGCTACTCCTCCTACAGTTTTGGTCTGATTTCAATATAACTTGGCACACAAGTAGACTTCACTAATATACATAACTCTATATATCGGTTTTGGATTTCGATAAACGGTGTTGCCGTGGTTACTAAAAATAGAAATTTCTGTGAAATTCTTTCAAAATGCTACTCCTCCTACAGTTTTGGTCTGATTTCAATATAACTTGGCACACAAGTAGACTACACTAAGATACATAATTCTGTATATCGGTTTTGGATTTCAATGAACGGTGTTGCCGTGGTTACTAAAAATAGATATTTCTGTGAAATTCTTTCAAAATGCTACATCTCCTACAGTTTTGGTCTGAATTCAATATAACTTGGCACACAAGTAGACTACACTAAGATACAAAATTTTGTATATTAGTTTTGGATTTCGATGAACGGTGTTGCCGTGGTTACTAAAAATAGAAATTTCTGTGAAATTCTTTCAAAATGCAACATCTCCTACAGTTTTGGTCTGAAACCAATATAACGTGGCACACAAGTAGACTACACTTAGATACAAAATTTTATGTATCGGTTTTGGTTTTCGATGAACGGTGTTGCAGTGGTTACTAAAAATAGAAATTTCTGTGAAATTCTTTCAAAATGCTACTCCTCCTACAGTTTTGGTCTGATTTCAATATAACTTGGCACACAAGTAGACTACACTAAGATACCTAATTCTGTGTATCGGTTTTGGATTTCGATGAACGGTGTTGCCGTGGTTACTAAAAATAGAAATTT